GATTTTGTTATCGATTTTCTCACTGATTATTTATCGATTTTGTTATCTATTTCGTTATCGGCTATTTATCCACTATTTATCGATTTTTTTATGTATTTTGTTATCGATTTTCTAATCGATTTTGTTGCCGCTTATCTATCGATTTCGTTACCGATACTTTTATCGGTTTTGTTATCGATATTTTCTTGGATGTTACTATCGATTTTGTTATCGATACAGTATAAAGATAAAAATGAGGATAAATTAAAACAGAATAACATAAATGTAAATAGAACGAACAGGGGTAGAGGCTGGGAACTACATAGAAAAGAGACAAAAAATATAACCTTAAGCAAAAGCAGATGTAGCTATGTATGTATATTGGTAATGAGACAAAATAGTTATGTAACGTAAGTTTCACTTCTCCAGTGTGACCCAGACGAACTTACTTTTTTTTAATGTTCTACTCTACAACTTGATGAGTTTGATGAACTGTTTTAATTCAGAATATAACAAACAGCAAAGCAGAAAAGAAATCAACACTTTAGTTTCAATTCGCCACTATTCGATGCATTTCCCTATTTGCACCAAAAACAACTGTTTAAAAAATTAGTAGGACCTAACTTGATAGGTTCTAACATTTTAAGGAAATGAGTATATCTCCAAATTTAGGTGTTTTAAGTTATTTGACAATTTTGCAATGTAAAATTAATAAAAATACGCAGCCAATACAGGATTTATACTTGACTAATGTTACGTTATTCACTAGTATAACATGGCGCAAGGGAGATACGCTGATTGGATCTCGCAAATGATCAAAAAAATTGTCTTAAAAGTGTTCCTAAAAATTTTAACTTGCCTCTCAGATCCGTGTTTCTGCCATCTTTCTGAGGAATTCAGAAGAGAGTTTTGAAAAACCTGCACTGGGAACGGCCAACTGCACGACGACAAACCCTAACACATACTGGCGAAGCAATCTAGTCAACAAAATTGCCATTCAAGGCAATCTGGTATGGTTATTACATCCTTCCAGCCGGGTCCACAGTAGCGCGAAAATTTGCCGAATAGCACCTCTATACAACGAAACAGCGAGAGAACAGCATTTCATTTCCTATGCGTTAATTGAATCTTGAATGGTAACTTGGGAGGCACTACAACCAACCAAGTAACAGCAGCTGCACTAATCTAGACACATTCAGGGTATCATGATCACTGTGGCCATCACTCGATGAGAGAATGACACGGAATTCGCTAAAGCACTTCAACGCAAGCTGTAAATATGAGGAAGGGATACTCAAAGAATCCATTAATAACTTCTTTTCCGAATGCATCGCACTACGAAGAATGCGCTACCGATTTCTTGAAAGCCATTTCTTCGAGGTAATGGACAGCTTAGGCAATGGCTTAGTGTAGGGCGCATCTGAATTCGCCAAGATATGAAGATGGGGATCTGGGGACCTATTACGATGGGTTTGGGGCCATCTGCTTGGCACCACACTGGGTATCTTAACAAGATCAGCCCGCCTAACTTAACACAACCCAATCAAAGTTGTGGTATTCTCCGCGTTTTTAGTTGCACCAAAACAACTTTTTCGAGGAACTTTTAAATCATCAATCTTAAAATTTCGTCAAAATCAAAGACATATGGGATAAGTTATGTTTATAGCAAAACTTCTCGCAACTGGTACTAGTCGGAAATGGACTAGTAACAAGCATGCTTAGAAACAGTTCATTGAACAGTTTGG